GTGAGGGACTCTCGCTGCATCTGAAGGGAGCTGCAGCTCTGCTGCACCGGAAGGGAGAGTCGCACTTGCAGCCGAATAAGTGGCGTGGTTTGATGTGGCAGATGGAGGGCTCTCACTGCGACCCTGCTGCACCGGAAGGGAGAGCCTTGACCGATGCTGAATAAGCAGTGAGACTCAAAATGACGGATGGAGGGCTCTCACTGCAACCGAAGGGAGCTGCGGCTCTGCTGCACTGGAAGGGAAAGCCCTGACTGATGCTAAAAAAGCAATGGGGCTCGAAATGACGCATGGAGGGCTCTCACTGCAACCGAAGGGAGCTGCGGCTCTGCTGCACTGGAAGGGAAAGCCCTGACTGATGCTAAAAAAGCAATGGGGCTCGAAATGACGCATGGAGGGCTCTCACTGCAACCGAAGGGAGCTGCGGCTCTGCTGCACTGGAAGGGAAAGCCCTGACTGATGCTAAAAAAGCAATGGGGCTCGAAATGACGCATGGAGGGCTCTCACTGCAACCGAAGGGAGCTGCGGCTCTGCTCCACCGGAAGGGAAAGCCCTGTCTGTTGCTAAATGCAATTTCTTTTTCTTTTAACTGATCAGGGTTAGATGGCCTTTCTTTATTTGAAAATGATTGGTCCTGATGTAGCTCTTGAAGGCATCCGATGACCATCGACCGAGAGCTTGGATCTGCTGCTGTGAGAGGCCTTTTTGAGCTGCTGTGGTTGCTGCCCCGATTCGGAAGGAGTGGGTGGAAAATCTTTCTGCGGGTATGCCTGATTGGATGAGAATTCGTTTTAGATGTTTTTGAAACCAAAAAGTGTGACGGGGTGTTTACAGTCATCGACAAAAAGAGGGTCGAGAGGAGATGTAGACTGAGAGCTTCTGAAGCAGAGGTAACAAAAAAGAGCCTGATACGGTTGGACTGGTGACGGGAGGTTGAAAACATAAGCATGGTGACCTCTTTTTTCCTGGTCTGACTTACTTTGTTTGATTAAATGGGAGATAGTCTAAAGTTATCGGTTGTCTAGGGTCCGGGCTTGGAGGATGAGAGTGCTGAATTTCTTTGATCAAAAGCGATGTTTGAGAATTGTTTATTTCGGGAGTGGGGGCACCGGGGATTAATTTGTGAAAAAATTGGATGCCGCTTAGATAACCTTTGATAGACCAGGCTTGGAGGTTCTTACAGGTGTTAAGGTAGCCAATCTCTGAAACATAAAACGATAAAGAGAGTCAGCAATTTGATTTTCGGATCCAGGAAGGTGTTTAGCAGTTATAATAAACTGATCGCATGCTGAAATCCAAATTAGACGCCTTAGGAGTGGCATTAGGGCAGAGGAATGAGAACGGCCTTTATTTATGCAGTGGACAGCTGCTTCGTTATCGCAGTGAACTAAGATGCTGCTTGCCGTCCAATCTTTCCCCCACAGGAAGGCAGCGACGACCAAAGAATAGAGCTCGAACAGTGCTGAGGACTGAGGAGCGTCTAGCAGCTGAGGGGGCCAAGGAGACACGAACCAACGACCTTGATAAAATCCCCAAAACTGACGGAGGGGGCCGCATCTGTGAACAATTGAATACTGTTGGGGTAAGAAACGAGATAATTGTGAAAGAAAGATAAGCCATTCCATTGCTTAAGGAAGGTAATCCATAAGCGAAGTTTGAGGTGACATGCGTGAGTTAAGGTAATTTGGTCTTCTAGAGCCTGAACCGACAATGTGAGTGTGAGGAGATGCAAGATGAAGGGGCAGCCTTGGGGAATTATGCGCATTGCGTAATTTACTTTTTGAAAACGTTTTGGACTGTCAAGATATTTGCGGCTGGGATAGCATCGGAAGGTGAGATGATTAGGAAATCGTCGAGCAGGTGAATGACGTGGTGAATGAATTAATTGTTAGAGAGAATCCAGAAAATCTCTTCTGATAACATATAGAAAATTTTGGGGCTGTTTTTGCATCCAAAAGTTAGGCATACTAAGAAATAAAGTTTCCCTTGCCAGCGAATCCTGAATAGATGCCATGAGTCTGGGTGGATAGGCATCACCTTGAAAGCAGAAGTGATGTCTACTTTGGCCAGCCATGCACCGCGACCTATGTTTTTTATCATGGTGATCGCTTGAAATATATCGTGGTAGTGCAAGGAATATTCCTCAAGGGGAATGAGGCTGTTTATGCTGGAAAATAGGGAAGTTCATGGAGCTGATAGATCGATAATCAAGCGTTTTTCCCCACGAAAATTTCCTAGTGTCTACACCGATGCGGCTGATGCGAAAAAAACTAGAAAGGGGGCACATCAAAAGAGCCGATCATGAAACCGGAATCGATTTCTTTTTTGATCAGATTAGTCACTACATCTGGTTCTGCAAGTGCAGATTGTCACAAATTATGTTCTGGGAGAGAGTGTATATGACGCTGGGATTAAAAACCTTCTTAGAGACCAGAAAGAAGATAGTGTCTGGGTGGTGGGATAATTCTGTGGATAGCCAAAAAATATTGACCGGAGTCGATAGATAGTTTTTTGATTTTTTTATTGACAGCTTTGTAGACTGGGCATACCAGACGGGCATGAGCTCCTCCACAATAACTACAGGCATGAAGAAACTTACAACGGTGTCTACTGCATTTCCCCACGTTGAAATTGTGACAGACCTGTCCAGCGACCAAGAAGGGAGGCCTTGATCTTCCCTTAGAGTCCGGATCTGCATTAATGTTTGCAGAGCGTGGGACGTAGCTGGTGGATTTGGGTTGGGCTGTGTCTTGGCAGGCAGGGATAGCGGGATTAAATTGAGGACAAGAAGTAGTGTATTACGACATCTTAAAAACACTCTGCTGTGGAGATCAGGGTCCAGCGCCCCAGTAGGGGCACTGATTTCACTGGGCCACACGAACTGCGCATTTAGCAGAGAATAAATTGTGTGATATGTGTAGAAATGAATTCCTCCGTAGGACAGCGTGAGTTCTGCGACTATGGCCAGATAATCGTTAAGTTTGCGCTGTCTATGGGGAAAAACTGAGCAAATTACGTCCATGTAGCAGCTAAAAGCGATAGTGAATGATAGAGAATGAGAGGATGCGAGATAAGTTAGGAGCTGGGTTTTTTTAGAGTAATGGAGAAATCCCCACAATCCATTTGCCGATTGGATTCGGCGACAGGAGGAGAGAACGCAGAGATGAGAGATCGATATCTGCACCTGTGAGGATCTGAGATCTGATGTTGTGGGTCACCAGGGGTGGTTCTGAAGCGATGGCGTTCGGTGGGGTAGGAAGCGATGTTGCAGATAGTAAAGTAAACTGAGTGTTAGAATGGAGAACAGAGCTGGAAGGGAGGGAAATATGGCCGTGACTGAATGCAGAGGCAGCCTCGCACTTGCACTATCCCCTGGATCTTGAGGTAGGGAGTAAGAAGAAGTCGAAGGAAATGAGGGAGGAGGCCAGTTAGCTTGCATCACTGGCCGGTATTGTCCTGAGCTGGCAACTACGGTGGGGGCTGCCGGCCACTGAGAGAGAAGGGGAGCAGAGGTTGCAGAAGGGAAGTGTTAGGGTAGCTGGGCTTGAGCGGCTAGCGGAGGCATCCTCACACTAATTTAAAAGAAGCAGGAAGGGTAGAAAAGGGGTGATAGGATATGTTAGCATGCGATGCAGCGGGCAGCGTGGTGCCTGAAGGAGCTGCGGCATCTGGCTGATCCGAGGAGTGAGGCGGTACAGAATCTGTAAGGGCGGAGTCTGGGGCACGGCCCCGGCTTGCTGATGGTCTGCTGTTTCTCTTCGTTCGCGGGGAGCTGGACCTGGATGAAGGCGTCACTTGGCCGAGAAGGAGGCGCTTTTTCTCCATTGGTTTGCGAGGCAAGTGCCTTAGAGCCGGTGGCTTGAGTTGGAGCGGCTAGCTCATGATTGGAAGGAATCGGTTCTACTTCGGACATAGTAGCAGACGAGTAATGCTGGAAAACTGTCATGGGACAGAGGTAAGTTGGCTGTATATATATATACATATTGCTAGTTAAGGTGATTAAAGGGATAGTTCACCCAAAAATGAAAATTACCCCATGATTTACTCACCTTCAAGGCATCCTAGGTGTATTGACATTCTTCTTTCTGATGAATACAATTGGAGTTATATTAAAAAACATCCTGGCTCTTCCAAGCTTTATAATGGGAGGGGATTGTAGCCCAAAATATGAAGTCCAAAAAATTTAACCAATCCATTGTTAACCCCCCCGGAGTTGTGTGGACTTCTTTTATAAAGGCCTTCTGAAGCGATGCATTTGTGTAAGAAAATATTTACAACTTTATAAACCTTAATCTCTAGTATCCGCTAACTGTCATACATGCATTCACGGGAGAGTGGCGTCCAGCGGATGACGTAGCACGTAGGCAAACACGGAAGTGACGAGCGCGGAAGCGCAGAGGAGAGAGGAAAACAAATCACCAGTCACGAATTAGTAGTACAAAACGAAGATTTGAAAAAAAAAAAATGTCGGAGGATTTCAATATAAGCAATGTTGAAATGAACACACTAGGAACAATATTTTTACAGCTTTCATTAATATTACAAAAGGACTCTTACTGTAAAGTATTACTATTTAATTTCAACAGTCATGCTTAAAGATGGCCATCTTTAAATATCTACACAAGGCCATAGCATTAAAATTACATATGTTATTGATATTGTATGTGTACTCTCACACTTGATTTGCTTCCATTTTAGAACACTGCATGATTATCTAATCAAAATTTTAAAAAAATATGCAAGTCACACACCGGACAAAAGCGCAGCGATGCATTCTCGGAGAAGTCACACACCAGACGCGTCCACGTGTCAAAACAAACAACACATGCTGTTAATGATTTCCGCCTCTAGAAGCTGCTCTCGTACTATATAATGGCAGCGGACTCTTCAACGGACGCAACCCAGAAAACTATCGGCATTGATTTTTGCCGATAACCGATAGTTCTGCCAATCAACTATCGGTGCCGATTTATCGGCAAAACCGATTAATCGGTCGACCTCTAGTGTGTATATATATATGTGTGTGTGTGTTATGTGGCAGCGATGGTGGTTCCTCCTCCGAGCCGCAGCAGTATCTGCTGGCAGTCCTGCAGGGATCTGCGGTCTCCGACTCGCTCCAGTGTGCGTTTGGCCTCGGCCAGCAGTCGAGCTCTGTGACCTGGCGGCGTCAGCAGCGGCAGCGGCAGGTGACGACACGCTAGCAGAATAGCATGAGCCCTCTCACGCTCGCCCGGAGCGCAGTCACCATCTGCAACACAAACACAGTGTCAGCGCAACATACTCAACACGCAGCAGCAGCTGCTATAGAGAGAGTGTGTGTGTGTGTTTACCTGTGCTGTAGTTGTGTGTTCGGTGTCGCAGCAGCTGGTGTGTGCGTGTTGGACTGGCTCCTGCCATCAGTCGGACCGTCGTCTCATGTAGGAACAGCTAAAAATCATACACACACAGTTAATAGCATGCAGAGGTCAAGTGCAGAGGTCAGGTGCAGACCAGGGTCAAAGGTCACCTTGTGCTGGGCCTGTCTGTGGGCCTGTCCTAGTTTCCGCAGAGAGCTCAGGTCCCTCTGAAATCCAGCCAGCTTGGATCCAGGGGCGGGGCCTGGCTCCCCGTTAGACCCGCCTCCACGCTGCCATAGGCTGGTCCTCAGAGTCAGGAGGAGGTCACACACCAGAAGCTCCACCCCCTGAGAGAGTCAGAGAAGATGATTGGACAAAGAGAAACGCCAGTGTGTTTAAGTGCAGTGTAGGGCTGCACGATATTAGAAAAAAACTCAAATTTTTCTGCGATATATATATATATATATATATAGCGATATGAAAAAAAAAAATTGAAAAAAAAAATGCCAGATGACTTGAATAGCTCTATTTGGAAAAAAATATATAATCATTTGGGTGATTGTGTATGTGAGTAAATCAGCATAGAAAATAAACAAATTACAAACATAGATAAATATAATAGAATAAAAATAGGGTCAAAGGTCACCTTGTGCTGGGCCTGTCTGTGGGCCTGTCCTAGTTTCCGCAGAGAGCTCAGGTCCCTCTGAAATCCAGCCAGCTTGGATCCAGGGGCGGGGCCTGGCTCCCCGTTAGACCCGCCTCCACGCTGCCATAGGCTGGTCCTCAGAGTCAGGAGGAGGTCACACACCAGAAGCTCCACCCCCTGAGAGAGTCAGAGAAGATGATTGGACAAAGAGAAACGCCAGTGTGTTTAAGTGCAGTGTAGGGCTGCACGATATTAAAAAAAAACTCAAATTTTTCTGCGATATATATATATATATATATATAGCGATATGAAAAAAAAAAAAAAAGAAAAAAAAAATGCCAGATGACTTGAATAGCTCTATTTGGAAAAAAAAATATAATCATTTGGGTGATTGTGTATGTGAGTAAATCAGCATAGAAAATAAACAAATTACAAACATAGATAAATATAATAGAATAAAAATACAAATGAAATAAACAATGCTTTACATTTTTCAGGTAAGTCTAACAGTACTCAGGTACAGAAATTGAATAATCAAATGTAAAATAACACTGCATAGTCTTCACTGTATAAATTAAATCTAAAGCTACAAAAGTGATTTTGGGTGAACCAGAAAGCCTCAGGAATATTAAACTGCTGTGAACCAATATACTATCCATTATATTTCTCAATTGTTTACCTTCACCTAAGCCATAAACAACCGTGTTTACGAGGATACTTGCAGAGACATGCAATTTGACACAGTTTTACGCGAATGTGTCATTTCGGAATGGAATTCAGTGTTCACGTGCATCTGCGTGGCTCTCACCGTGTCTACATCAGACGTGAGCGGCGTTGCGTGACGCAGCAAAATACAATAGAACCCATTATAATCAGCTCTGTCTACACTGGATGCGGCGTGGCATCCCTCGTTCTTTTTATGACGTACTGACACAAAGTTCAAATGATTAGCAATGGTTGCTTTGTTTTTCGACAGCTGTCGAGAAAACGATAAGTATAAATCAATTTATGATCAGTATACTAAACATTGCACATCCTGTGATGTGACGATTGCGGATGTGCACATCGTGATATCGATGCTGAAACGATATATCGTGCAGCCCTAGTGCAATGTGCAAAAGTGCAGTGTAAGAGTGTGCAGTGTGTGTGTGTGAGTGCATGTGTATAAGTGCAGTGCAGTGAGTGTGTGAGTGCAGTGTGAGTATGTGAGTGCAGTGTAAGTGAGCGCAGTGTGTGTGAGTGCAATGTGTATAAGTTCAGTGTGTGTGAGTGCATGTGTATAAGTGCAGTGCAGTGCAGTGTGTGTATGAGTACAGTGTAAGTAAGTGAAGGGTGTGTGAGTGCAGTGTAAGTAAGTGCAGTGAGTGTGTGAGTACAGTGTGTGAGTGCAATGTGTATAAGTGCAGTGTGTGTGTGAGTGCAGTGTGAGTATGTGAGTGCAGTGTAAGTGAGTGCAGTGTGTGTGAGTGCAATGTGTATAAGTTCAGTGTGTGTGAGTGCATGTGTATAAGTGCAGTGAGTGTGTAAGTGCAGTGTGTGTGTGTGAGTGTGAGTAAAGTGTGAGTATGTGTGTCAGTGTGTGTGAGTGCAGTGTAAATGAGTGCAGTGTGTGTGAGTGCATGTGTATAAGTGCAGTGCAGTGCAGTGTGTGTATGAGTACAGTGTAAGTAAGTGAAGGGTGTGTGAGTGCAGTGTAAGTAAGTGCAGTGAGTGTGTGAGTGCAGTGTGTGAGTGCAATGTGTATAAGTGCAGTGTGTGTGTGAGTGCAGTGTGAGTATGTGAGTGCAGTGTAAGTGAGTGCAGTGTGTGTGAGTGCAATGTGTATAAGTTCAGTGTGTGTGAGTGCATGTGTATAAGTGCAGTGAGTGTGTAAGTGCAGTGTGTCAGTATGTGTGTGAGTAAAGTGTGAGTATGTGTGTCAGTGTGTGTGAGTGCAGTGTAAATGAGTGCAGTGTGTGTGAGTGCATGTGTATAAGTGCAGTGCGAGTATGTGAGTGCAGTGTAAGTGAGCGCAGTGTGTGTGTGAGTGCAGTGTGTGTTAGTGCATGTGTATAAGTGCAGTGCAGTGAGTGTGTGAGTGCAGTGTGTGAGTGCAATGTGTATAAGTGCAGTGTGTGTGTGAGTGCAATGTGAGTATGTGAGTGCAGTGTAAGTGAGCGCAGTGTGTGTGAGTGCAATGTGTATAAGTTCAGTGTGTGTGAGTGCATGTGTATAAGTGCAGTGCAGTGCGTGTGTGAGTGCAGTGTAAGTAAGTGCAGTGAGTGTGTGAGTGCAGTGTGTGAGTGCAATGTGTATAAGTGCAGTGTGTGTGTGAGTGCAATGTGAGTATGTGAGTGCAGTGTAAGTGAGTGCAGTGTGTGTGAGTGCAATGTGTGTAAGTGCAGTGTGTGTGAGTGCATGTGTATAAGTGCAGTGAGTGTGTAAGTGCAGTGTGTGTGTGAGTGCAGTGTGTATAAGCGCAGTGTGTGTGTGTGAGTGCAGTGTGAGTATGTGAGTGCAGTGTGTGTGTGAGTGCAATGTGTATGAGTTCAGTGTGTGTGAGTGCAGTGTGAGTATGTGTGTCAGTATGAGTGTGAGTGCAGTGTGTGAGTGCAATGTGAGTATGTGTGTCAGTGTGAGTATGTGAGTGCAGTGTGTGTGTGTGAGTGCAATGTGTATGAGTTCAGTGTGTGTGAGTGCAGTGTGAGTATGTGTGTCAGTATGAGTGTGAGTGCAGTGTGTGTGTGAGTGCAGTGTGTGTGAGTGCAGTGTGTATAAGTGCAGTGTGAGTGTGTGTATGTAAGTGTATAAATGTGTGTAGGTGCAGTACAGGTGTGTACCTTGTGCAGCCAGGTGTTGTTGTGAGACTGACACACACTGAAGTGCAGGTGCGCACTGGCACGCTGGCAGTGACTGAGGCAGCTGACAACTCCCTCGCTCTTCTGCGGACTCACACTCATCTGCATAGCCTTACACAGTGCCAGCACGGCCTTCGGCAGCGGGTGACTGACACACACACACACGCATGCT